AGCCATTACTCGAACCAGCGCTGAGGGAGATCAAGTTCGTCTAGAAGAGCTATCTGGAATTGGCTCGAATCCTGCGACGCCGCCCAACGCGAACCTGAAGGACCTTCCCCGAACCGACCGTCTGCCTGACCCGCCTCTGTTCAATGGCCGACGAAAGGACCTCCCTGCCTTCGTCCGCAAGCTTAGGTACAAGCTCGAGGGAAACGCAGACCGATACCCGAACGAAAGATCCCGCCTGCTATACGCTCACTCTAGACTTGAGAAGGACGCAGTAGCTCTTATCGACCCGCTTATGGACAAGGATATCCATAATGTAGACCAGCTTGTTACCTTTCTTGAAGCTACCTACGGAGACCCAAACAAGGAGCTGACAGCTCTTAGTCGATTAAGCGGACTCCGTCAAGGAAAGCGCAGCTTCACCTCCCACTTCGCCGAATTCCGACGACTAGCTGCTGACACTGGGTTAAATGAGATTGGCCTGATCGCGTCCCTCCGGAACTCTCTATCCCACGAACTTCAACGTGCAATGGTTGGAGAAGCCTTGCCTAGCGACCTTAACGATTACGCTAACCTGATATCCACGTACGATAATAACCTCCGTTTCCTACCAGACCGCCCACGACGCTACCCTGTAACCCACCCCGACGCAATGGAGATAGACGCATCAGCATACGCCCCCGCTGGTTCCTCCGAACGACAGAAGAGGATTAAGGAAGGCCGCTGCTTTAAGTGCAACCAGAAAGGTCACATCTCTAAGGATTGCAGCGCTCCCCTACCTACTCAGCATATCCGATCCTATAGCGCGCGTGACCACGACCGTACCCAGTCTACTAGTTCTGTCTCGTCAGGATCCTCGCGACCTTCGCGATCCCGAGGACGACGTTCTCGTAACCGATCCCAGAAGGGAAAAGCCTCGTCCCGAGGATAAGTCGCTCCCCGGGACTGCGCACCCACCGAATCTCTGCTGAACTCTGGTCTGAATCTCAGACTGATACCTGGAAACGTTGTATTACAATACCTTGTACGGTTCAACAAGGCGGTGTTAAGAGTAACCTTAAAGCCTTAGTTGACACTGGAGCTACTGGTATTGGATACATTCACAGAGACCTCGCGCGCAACCTAAAACTACGTCAAGACCCGCTGCCCTACGTTATTTACCCGACTGGATTTACTGGAACTGTACTCGACGGTGGAGAAGTGTCTCACACTGTCACCCTGAAGCTACAACACAACAATCACAACGAATCTATACGACTCTACGTCACGAACACCGGCCGTCATAATTTAATACTTGGCCAACCCTGGATGAACAAGCACCGAGTAAACCTAGACTACGACAAGGAAAGACTAATCTTCACCGCTCAACGATGTAAAGAACGTTGTCTTAGAACTACTAGAACTCCTGTTCTCTCTCCTGAGGTACAGTGGAGCAACAACAGGCATGATGAAGCCTACCCTCAAAACCCAAAACTTAAGCATGTGCCACGACAACGGCACGACCACTGGCTACCTAAGATGAAGCGCCAGTTGAACGAACTTGTACCCGAACCTGTACCCGACCCTGATAGTGCCCAGCCAACAGACGAGCAGAACGACTCGTCGAAGTTGCAGCCAGAACTCGACATCTACTGTATAGGTGCTGCTCCGTTTATGAGCCTAGCACGCAAAAGAGGCTATGAAATCTGTGCTGTTAGCATTGCCGACATTGACAAGGCACTAACTGAGAAGAAGCACACCGATCCACTCACGAAAGTCCCTCAGGAGTATCATGACCTGATAGACGTCTTTTCACGAGAAGAGTCTGATAAGCTGCCTGTACGACGGCCTTACGACCACAAGATCAAACTAATACCCGGCAAACAGCACGGGTTCGGCCCACTGTATGGCATGTCTCAGAACGAACTCAAAGTGTTGCGCAAGTACCTCGAAGATCACCTGTCGAAGGGATTCATTCGCGCAAGCTCCTCCCCAGTCGCCTCCCCTGTTATCTTTGTTAAGAAACCCGGCGGCGGACTACGCTTCTGCGTCGATTACCGTGCCTTAAACGCCGCCACTGTTAAGAACCGTTACCCAATCCCGTTGATCCAAGAGACCTTGAGCCGACTGAGCAAGGCCAAGTATTACACGAAGCTCGATATTATTGCTGCCTTCAACCGATTGAGAATTGCTGAAGGAGACGAATGGCTAACAGCCTTCCGCACTCGATATGGGTTGTTCGAATACCTAGTGATGCCCTTTGGACTAGCTAATGCGCCGAGCACGTTCCAACACTTCGTGAACGATGTACTACGCCCGTTCCTAGACGTCTTCTGCACGGCCTACCTCGACGATATCCTGATTTACAGTGAGAATCTCCATGAACATAAGGAGCATGTACGATCTGTTCTAAACGCCCTTCGAGAAGCCGGACTCCAACTAGACGTAGACAAATGCGAGTTTCACCAGACTGAGGTGACTTACCTTGGCTACGTAGTTGGAGTAGACGGAATACAAATGGATCCGAAGAAGGTGCAAGCTATTGTAAATTGGGAGTACCCAAACAACGTTAAGGACATCAGAGCATTTCTAGGCTTCGCAAACTTCTACCGACGGTTTATAGACGGTTTCTCCTACCTAGCTGCTCCGCTAGTAGCGCTGACTAAGAAGGATACTAAGTTCCTCTTCAATGACGACTGCCAGAAGGCTTTTGATGCTTTGAAGCATGCCTTCACTACTGCACCAATATTACGACACTTCGACCCAGACCTGCCAATTGTTATTGAAGCCGACGCTTCCGACTATGTTACAGCAGGAGTGCTGTCCCAATCTGGACCTGACGGCGTCCTCCGTCCGGTCGCGTACTACTCGAAAAGAATGAACCCCGCTGAGAACAACTACGAGATCTACGACAAGGAGCTACTTGCTATTGTTCGCTGTTTCGAACAGTGGAGACCAGAATTAGAAGGCGCTGCCTTCCCTATCGACGTGCTCAGCGACCATAAGAACCTGCAGTACTTCGCCACTACGAAGCAACTGAGCCACCGTCAAGCCCGCTGGTCTGAATACCTATCACGATTCCAGTTTACGATTACATACCGACCCGGCAAGCACGGTGAGAAGCCTGACGCTCTTACCCGTCGCTCTCAGGACCAGCTTGCTCAGGAGGAAGCGAGACAAGCTCGGAAACAGACCCTACTGCGTCCTGACCTGTTTCGAGAACCCGTAGCAATTAGACTGGTAGAGACAGATAGATCTATCCAGCAGATCATCGACGATGAGTACCGTCCTACAGGCGATGGGCTACCTGAAGACCTGTTTATTCGAGAAACGCTGAAGCTGCTGCGCGACGGCGCACGACGGTCTAAGACAGTTACACTTGGTGACTGCGAAGACCGTGAGGGTCGCCTCTACTATCGCAACAAGTTAGTGATACCTGACAGCGACGAACTTAAGATCAAGATCCTGCGAACAGTCCACGATTCCCCATCAGGAGGCCACCCTGGCCGAGGGAAAACACTTGAACTAATCCAGCGGGAATACTACTGGCCCCGACTGTTTGAGACCGTTCGCCGTTATGTTTCTTGCTGCCACGTCTGCCGACGTTCGAAGGCTTCTCGTGAGAAGTACCACGGCCTGCTGAAGCCGCTACCCGTACCCGAACGACGTTGGGCAGACGTCTCTGTCGACTTCGTCGTTGACCTGCCAGAATCCGAAGGATGCAAGAACATCATGGTCGTAGTAGACCGCCTGTCTAAGTACCGATACATGATCCCCTGCGATAAGATGGAGGCTTCCGACGTAGCACGTATGTTCCTGCGCTACGTCTGGTGTAATCATGGCCTCCCTGATACGATAGTCTCGGACCGTGGCAGACAGTTCGTATCTGCTTTCCATGATGAGCTGTGTGCTCAACTAAGGATAGACCCGCGCTTCTCAACCGGCTACCATCCTGAGACAGATGGACAAACAGAGAACGCTAACGCTGCGATGGAACAAGTCCTACGCGCGTATACGAACTATCAACAAGACGATTGGGTTCAATGGCTCCCCACCGCTCAGTTCGAAGCCAATAATACCGTCTCTGAGTCTACTGGAGTAACCCCGATGATGGCCTGCTACGGTCAGAATCCCCGAATGGGCTTCGAGCCGCCTACCAACAAGACACGTCCCGCCTACCAAGCTCTCCAAGCTCGTGAGGTGAACGCGATGGTGGATAAGATGCGCGACATTACTGAGTTCATCCGTGAAGAAATGACATGGGCTCAAGCCCTACAGCAAGAGTACGCGAACCGCAAACGCCTACCTGCGCCAACATACGAAATTGGCGACGAGGTATGGTTAGACGCGCGTAACATCCGAACGCAACGGGCATCTAAGAAGCTTGATTGGAAGAATCTAGGCCCGTACCGAGTAGCTAAAAAGATCTCTTCCCACGCGTACCGTCTCGAACTGCCCGATTCCATGAAGATACACCCAGTATTTCATGTGTCCTTACTCCGGCCTGCTGCGCCAAAACAGGAGTACCTGCCAGGACAACTTGTCCTACCGCCCGAACCTGTTGTTGTAGACAACGAAGAAGAATACTTTGTAGAAAGTATCGAAGACCTCCGTTACAATAAGCGTCGTAGACGACATGAATACTACGTTAAATGGACAGGCTATGACGAGATGACCTGGGAACCCGCTGCAGACCTGAAGGATAACGCAGCCGTAGCTGGTTTCCATAAGAGGTTTTCTGACATCTTGGAGCCACCCGAAGTAATGCAAGAGTAAGAGACATGATCTCTACTCACAGGAGCTCAAGAGTAAGAGGGGGGTACTGTTACGGTAACCACCGTGGTTCCCCTAACACCTGAACGCACAGATTTCGGGTGGCTCGCCAGTCCACCCGAAATCTGTTAATTGGCCAGCTAAGGCCTGAGCGCCGCGCACGGCCCTAGCTATATCTTTCACCGCTTTGCATTCTGTTCTGTTCCTTACGCAACGTCTTGTATTACACTAGATATTATACGTAGCTACAATTAACGCTTCTTGTAAGCTCTTAAACACGTGCTCGTAGCGTCTTGTGACACTATGACAAGCTCACTAAGCTTTTCAATGCTCATATCCTGCCGAACTCGCCCTAGTGCATTAATCTTGGCTTGTTTATGCATAGATGTAAACGGCTCCCACACCCGTGCTCGGTAGTTAGCTCGTACGCCCTTCTTGAACGTTGCATCAAGCGCAGTATCAAGGTCGAATGCATATCCCTGGAAGTCTTTACTGTAAGGACCAGACCGAAACTGGCCCACAATAATGACAGCACTACGTTATAGAGATTAGCATGCCTCTCTTATCTATCTTCTTCGCCTCGCTGCGTAGCCAAAAACGTACTGAGCACCCCCGTTGCACATCTTCTCAATAGCATTTCCGTTCCAGTATTCCGCAAATGCGTAATTGACTCCGATTTCTGGTTCTGGTAACCCCTGATCCTTAAGCACAGATGCCATAACATCGTAGCTAGTGGCACTATCGTCATGCCATGGTATAACTCGTCCTGCTAGCGCCAGGGCAATCCACTGCAGAAGAAATGACCATAGTAAGAGTAGCTGCATACTGGTACAGAGTCCTGGTAGCGTACTGGAGCAGAATGAGGAAGTAAGGGAGTATAGTAGCCTGTTGGCAAAAGAGAAAGATAGTAAAGAAGCTGCTCTGGCTCCTTAGCTTGAGGCGGACGTGCTTGTTTTAAGAACTACTTGTCCCTGTGCCTCTTCTCCGCTTGTATCTGTGCCCCTTCTCTACTATCCCAACGTCGGCCTTGAAACAAACAGGATGTAAAAAAGACATAGTAAAACAAGAGTGTCTCGGAGGTAGGTAAGAAAAAAGAATACCCACTCCTCCTGTATGACCCTGTGTGTCTGAGCCGTGCCTCCCGCGCCTCTCTTAGAACCCTGTATACCTAAGCAGTGCCACCTACGCCTCCGTCAGAAGCCCCCGCGCCTCCGTCAGAAGCCTGAGTGTCTGAGTAGTGCCTCCCGCGCCTCCGTCAGAAGCCTGTGTGTCTGAGTAGTGCCTCCCGCGCCTCCGTCAGAAGCCTGTGTGTCTGAGTAGTGCCTCCCGCGCCTCCCTCAGAAGCCTGTGTGTCTGAGTAGTGCCTCCCACGCCTCCCTCAGAAGCCTGTGTGTCTGAGTAGTGCCTCCCGCGCCTCCCTCAGAAGCCCGTCTATCCAAGCAGCGCCTCCTACGCCTCCTCCTTGTAGGCCTGTTAGTCTTACTACCAACGAGTAGCCGGTTCTGCGTAGATTCTAGCATATAAGAGCGGGGAAGTAGCTCGCAAAATGACAACGCTAACTACCACAGAGGCAGCAATACATACGTTTACATCTTGCATGTAAGTACGAAGCTGGGTTAGGCTACCTGTCCTGCTTCCCTTGTTAACATACCCTCTAGCTTTACACTCAATTGCTACTACAACTACAACAACGATGAAGTGCAACATCTCCATCTGGGTAGCAGTGGCTATAAGCCTTACCTCCGTTACCGCCAACCCAGTTGCCATCCCTCAACCGGCTGTCAACCCGCAACACTCGCCGCTCCTTGCGTGTATTCAGCAAAAGCATCCCAACTTCCCTACTAAGGGCAAGCCTACGCCTCAAGAGATGCGCAGCTGTCTTGACGAGGCAAAGGCAAACACAAAGCGAGACACGGAAGCGGGAAGCCCTACGGCAGACGTAGGAGCAGAGGAGCTTCTGTACAACCCAGACGAGAAACGATCTGTGCAGCCTCGATACATTATTGATTCCGTTGGACGACTAGGCAAGAGCCTGTACCTGGACAAGAAAGCAACCTGGTGTGATGGGAAAACAGTACACGATAACTTTGTGTGGGTAGCAGACATTGTATCCAGATCAAAGGATATCTGCTCACAGCTCAAAGACCAGATCGACTCCTCAGGCTTAAAGGAGGATGGTGGGGTTGGGCTTGTTATTGACAAGCTAACCAATGGACACGATAAGCAGGGTCACCAACTCAAGGACAAACGCAAGGTTACAGCATCCTACCTGCTTACCTTTGTACCCCCTGCTAAGATGACAATTAACGAGATCAAAGAGCTATCTACAGGAGTGTACGATCTCTGCAACGATGGTATTGAGCGGATTGCTACCAAGGGAGAAGGATGTACGCAGGATATTAAATACTACCGCCCAAGCAAGGCAAAGCACTACACGGATACAGGGGCTATTGGCGGCACTATCCAAATGTACCTAGGCGACTCCGTGAGCCGGGTTGCCGATCTTACTATTGGCTTCTTCGATGACTAGTCGCCTAGTAGAGCAAGCTATGTAAACCCTCTCCTTGCGCATGGAGCTGGCAAAGGATCTCTCATACTGTCTATGTACCAATCTTCTACTAGGGTATACATAGCACCGTATATAGTGTAAGCGCGCTTGTAGAGAAGTAGCTACGCGGGAATACGAAGTTCAACGTCTCTTCTGCTTTATGCTTTTGCGTAGTTACGTGTAATCTAGAGTAGCGTAGCAGTTCCTAGTATACATGGCTTGTAGTGTGTAAGAGAGAGTACAGCTGGGCTCGTAAGAAGCTGTCCGGAGGCGCAGCATATCTAATAATAGAGACCAATAAGAACACACAAGCTATTTTGGATAAGCGCTGACAAGGTAGGGATTACGTATATAGAGTAGAGTAGCTGCGCACTCTTCTAAAAAGTTCTAAGCAGCCTCCCCTCTTCTTAGTGTGGCACACACTAGATCTTGCTGACTACTAAGTACTCTCTCACGTGCGCTCTAGCGGTAGTAACCTATACAGCATGTACGCAGCTAGCACAACTGATCTCTGCAAGCTCTACGCATCACCTCGTACACGTCTGCCACCTTGTTCTTTTGTTTACTAGCTAACTAGAACAGAACATGTCCAGAAGATGTTGCTTGAGCACCTGTTTATAGCAGGGATTCCTAGCTCTACTATAGAGCGCTTCTACGAACACAGTGTAGAGAATAGCTGCTGCCATTGTAGGAGACACATTCTTTGCATCCCAAGTCCTTTGCTAACATACGCCAGACTGGTCCATCTCTTCGGTAGAGACATGGCTTGCTAGCGTATGCTCGGACAACCAGACGATAGCGCGTACAGCCGCGCCTATTGTGTACCAGATCCTCTTGCACTACAGCGCCTGGCCCTTCAAGCCAGATTGTACTACTACGCTCACGCTAGACGGCCTAGCCATTGCCATAGCGCTGCTAACAGGACAAGACCAGTTCTACATCCGCTTTGAGGACCGTCACAGCCGTTCCTACGCTGTAGAGCGACCTCGCAACTGGGCAGATAGAGGCAGGCTGCTCTTCCAAAGTCTCTGTAGCAACACAAACTGGGCAGAGGAGGCTACTCAAAACTGCAGAGCGGGCGGTGACGACGAAGACCTGGTTGCTGTGCTCTATGAGAGCATGCCACAGCGGCAAAAGCCAAATAGAGAACGCTTTCTGCCTGTAGCAGCTACACTCCCAAGCTCCTATGCTACAAAAGTAGCGAGAGAGGTACCGATCCAATCTGTCCAAGTATTGCTGGAGCTACTACTTGTAGCTGCTACACTACCACTCCCTGGCTCCAGTATAGACAGGCAAGAAGGGCTATACAACACAGCAAGAACTGTTGCTTGCTCTCTCCAGGCAGACAGTACCAAGGTAGATTGGGAGCAGTTTACCGAGTTTGCATCAAACGCTGCGGTACGCTACTCTTTTACTGCCGTTTCATCTACTACGCTAACTGAGTAGTAAGCCCCTTCTACTCGCGGAACTAGCTGCTTTTGTGTGGCATGCTTTTCCAAGCCACAGAACTAGCCAGTACGAGGTTCAGCAGTTATGGGGTGTATCACCTGCAGTAGGCTATCACACCCTCGCAGCATCAAGCCAAAGCCGCTAACCAAGGTAGTCCGTTACAACAGAGCCTTTACCTAAGCAGTCCCGCCTAAGCATCCTCCAGCTCTGCCAACTCCGTCTTGTAACCCCCGCTGCTATCCTTACGAGGTTAACGCTGCTGTCTCAGGGTAGCCCTCCTGAGCTATCGTGCTACGCTATATGGCCATTACTCGCTCTAGCGCCAACACATCGGCTCTTATATGTATATAGCACTACACAGGAAGGGCCGCTACTATTCGCTTGCTGTTTGAATGCGCCCATGGTACGGGCGAACTGCCTAGCAGAGATTCGGCGAGGGGCTCAAGCTCTTCTGCCTCCAACCGCGTACTCGGACTGTCTTGTCCAGAGTAGCCCAACCCACAGCGTGCTAAGAGGGAACTGGCCCCAAACTAGGATAGAATTGGAGGCTACTGGCAAGTTGTCCTTACACCTTGGGGGCGTGTCTGTGTGGTTTGACCAAGGACTAGAGACAGGTAGTCTCTGTGCTATGGGTCGTCCAAGGCTGTCTTTTACGTGCCAACAGTTGGAGGTCTGGAGCGAAGAATAGATGCTAACGTAGTTGTATATAGTGGCAGACATAGGTAGTAGGTAGATGAATAGAAACGAAGAACAACATCCAACCTAGCCCTAAGAGTTACTAAATAAGAGACGCCCCCCGAAGAGCTAGCGAGAAAACTGCCTGCCTAGAACTACGGAACCACGCCGCACAACTAGGCTACTAGTAGCGCAGTAACGCGGGGCCCCTAGCACGTATTGCTGCGTTGTGCCACGTACTCTACAAGCATTATCCGCGGACTGTTATTAGTCCAACACAAGGCTTACACGGCACAGCTAACCGGCCTTTGGTAAAAGCAGAGGCAGCGTCGGCGACGTGGCAGCCATGGAATTCCTCCTAACGTAGGAGTACTACGTCTCGACAAGAAATAAATCCGCTACATTTCTATCCGCTACATCCTTCTCTACCAAAAAACACCCTACGGCAGAACAATAACACCCGTATCGCAACTACCATCGCGTTGCTAAAATACTCCCCCCAAACCCGCACCGCATGTCGCTTGGCTAACCATCCTGCATACTCCTTCCAATCTCCTCCTAGCTCTCCTGTATACCCTAGCTCTCGCACCAGCCCTACGCCCGCCGCTTCACTCGCAATCGCTCGAACCACCGGTATCACTACGTTCGGCCACTGACACCGCTGACTCATGCTCTCCCTGGTCGCGCAATACTTCTGACTTACCCTAGCACCGTCGGCAGCTATGAATCCTCTCTCCGCTGTCGCACACAAACCGTCGAAACCGGTCCACATCCGTTGCGGTAAGCCCTACGTGTGCTGTGCACTGCACCGCCTTATGCCGCTTCTATCCCTCGCTCCCGCTCTCTCCAGCTACAAAGCACACCCCACATCCATGCCGAATCTCATCCATCATCGCCCGCACATCCTCCCACTCGGCACTCGCCTGACCCTGCGCTTCCTGCACTTCTCCCATCCCCTCCCCGCACCGGTCGCACCCTGCGCTCTCAATGTCGTTGCAGCCTATGCTCTTCCCATCAAGATAACCGCTCATCAGCCCCCTGCGACAC